TCGTCTCGTAGATATGAGTTGAATTACATTTGATGACCCACTACTGTAGTTTTGTGTCAGTCGAAGATATGGTTAGAAATGATTAGAACGACTGACCGTAGATATTTTATTAATAAATATGTCAATTTAAATCGTATCTATTTATTTATAAAAAAATACATCCTTTTTCTTTGCTTCTCGTAAATATATAAAATATACGATGTGACCGTGGTACAGAACATTTCTGAAACCGCTGAATTCCATAATACACATCCAGTTGTCGGCTTAAATATTACAAAGCAAAATGCTAATGACCATAAAGATATTATTGTTTAAACTATTACTTAATAGGGGTAGATAGGTTCTCCTATCATCTGACACACTCCTCCCCGGTCTTTAGAACAGGTGTACAGGTTTATCCCTGTTTAGGATTGGGTTTCCGGTCCCTTCTAAAGTCTTCTCATTCTCTTTCACTCCAAGTAACTCCTTGCGTCTTAGTGACATTATCACCTTTCATGGGCGAATTGATAATAAAAATAACTATCGCCAGTGTTGAGTGCTGGATTTTTTAAAAGAACAAATTTTCAGCTTCATTGTAGCATATTCCTATTCATAGTAGTTCGAGAACCATATTTGTTATTCGATTAGCCTGAAAATAAAACTGACCGTATATACGAATCCTATAATAAATGAATGAGTTCTTGGCTAAAAATCAGTCTTTCTATACATGAAATCAACTTATTTATATCAGTTAATTTTCATTATTTGGTTGTGTTTTGAACGTACTTCATCGGGAATTCTGTGCTTTTTCAAAAGCCTTTCTCTCTTCCTTTTTTATTTTCCTTTACTGCCAAACGCAGTAATTAATGCTTTTTACAAACAGGGTTTAATTTATCCCAATCTTGAGGGATCCCAGCAAAAAAAATGTTTCTTTTGCGTCGAAGTGCTCAATGAAAGACAAATGTTGATTACATCAGACACGTCAGAATATTTCATCCAGCACAAAGCTTCATTCTTGATTTTAATCAATCAAATAAATGTAAAATTTGACCGAATGAAAAATAACATATTTGAAAGGGTGGCAGAAGACTTTTCCATGATTTTCTTACTGATTTTGTTGAGATCCGTCGTTTTTTTTTTTTTTTGTTTTTTGTTGGTTTTTTTTGTCCATTTTTCCGAAAAGGTTTTCATTGAACAAACAAAAATTAGCTTTGATCAAGGTAGCCAAAGAAGAAAACTTTATTTGAAACAAAGGAAAAAAACGTTATTTTTCTATGTGTTACACGGGTGTTTCCATCTGTGTGGCATATCGCGTGGGTGTACGTGAAGTTGTCAAACGATTCAAACAGTATTCTTAAAGAGTATTTGATAAAGTTGTGAGAGTGATATTAACTGTCCTCCACATTTGTGGTAGATTAGTCATACATTTTGATAGAAAGGGTGTCACTTGGTAGAGCAATGACCAATAAGTTACCTCCTCACAGTTTGTCTATTTTAGTGCGTTTTATAAATTCACTGAGTACGCCGTACTACTGATGCTCTGCCATAATAATTTTTTTTGTGAATATATATGTGTGTTTGTCTGTATGTATATATAAGTTTGCTTAAAAGCCTCATGAAAGTTTTGTTTAAAAATTATATATATATATATATATATATATATATATATATATCAACCAATTTCCTGGTTTTCCTTATAAATGAAAATTGCAATCTTTTATATTTTAACAATGTTTGGAATTTTTGATCAAAATCTAAACATAATGTTGCTGATAATTTTTATGACTGTCTATATTTTTAATTATGTGTATCTTTATATTTTGATCTTTTTTTATTATTCGGGCATCGTGCAGTAAGATAAAATATGATTTAATTCTATTGAATAACGGTTCCTTTCAATTGTTTATTAAGTGTTAGATTAGCAAATCGAGTCAACTCTATACTTCTAACGTCCCTGCCTGAACTCTGAGAGCGGTTCGCCTATCACCTGATTAACTCCCCCCACCACCAGTCTTTAAAAAAAAGAGTAGGTTTATCCCTTATTTCCTGTTTATGGATTGGTTTCCGATTCTTTCTAAAGTCTTTTCATTCTCTTTTATTCTTAGTAGCCATCTGAATCTTAATGGCATTATCGCTTTCTTTGCATTGAATTTATTTAAAATTAAATCATCAAAATTGTATCGTAATTTAATTTTTAAATCGAGTACTCAAGGGCGAAGCACATTCATTTCCTGTAGTAATAAATTAAATCTTTATATAGATGGTCAAAAAATAAGTAATTAAGAACTATCAAAAATTTTACGTATATTTTTAATTTTGATATCTTTGTTGTTTAAAAAATCATTTTTTTATATTATGTTCTTTTAACTTAATCTTATTAACTAATCTAATTATTATTAAAATGACAATATGAATATTTTTTTCAATAAGAATATTTTTAAAAATAAACAATTTTAGAAAACAAGTCTATTTTGAGGAAAATTATAATAAAAAATTTCCATTTTCTTTTATTTGACAAAACTGTGCTTGCGGATTTCTATGTTTAGAAAATATTTGTGACCGGAAACCATCAGAATAGCTCTTAACCAAGATATAACCAACAATTTAGTCTATTTATTAATATGTTTATTCGTTGAATATGCTTGATTTGTAGGCTGAATTCGACTTTTAAACCTTTTTTTTACTTCAAGAATCGGTTTCGAAGCAAAAAAGGTTTAAAAGGAGAATCAATAATTATATTTTATTTCCCTTGTTTACACCATCAGAGTAACGGAATGGTAAGAAATGCGTTCTTTGACCGTTCTGTTGCACACTTCCGTTTCAAAAGCAAATTGACCTTCCTGCCTCGGAACATCCACTGTTACATCGGCATTTGACCTCCTTGCTTGCCCGAATCTGCGCGCTGTAATAGTTGGATTAGCATTACTACTAAATAGTGTCTTCACTTGGTGTCGTACAATTGTGACCTTGTGCCAAACTAAGCCAAGTAAAATAAATTACAACACGCTAATTTGCTTATTAGATTGCTCGGATTTTGAATAATGGTTTTAAAGGATTGCAAACTCTCTCCTTGGTGCGACACAATGTTCATCTCCATATTTGGTTTCGGGAAAAATTAAGCTAAAATGAGTCAGTATATACAGTAATAGATTCCGTGTGCGTGCCGTAGCTCTTCTCACAGACCTGTTCGTGTTGTGTGTTCGATCCTTAGAAGGTTCTCTATATTACATGTTGTGTGCCGTAAAAAAAACAAAAAGAAGAAATACTGCGTGGTGCCTATTACAGTGGTTAGGGGATCAGCAAACTTTAATAATTCGTGAGTTTAGCGTGTTGGGATGCGGCTGGTGTAAAAAATAACAGCACCGAAAATGTAAATGGTGAGCTGAGTTCAAATTACAGCTGAAACAGTTTGTTTTCATTTGGAAAAGGCACGAACCTATCTCTTTTCCCTTGATTTCCATCTGACGAGTTAAACAGATGGACAGTCTAGTCTTGGTTGACAACCAGTCTAAAACTAGGTCAACTCTGAAATTAAAATTGTAAAATTTGTAAATTTTATTTGCAAAAGACAATAGAAAACAACTTCACTATCTTTCCCAAGAAGAATCATGATAACTGGGAACCTATCACCTTTACCATTATGTCAACTGCGTGTCCCGTTAGCCATGATTTTCTTTTTAATAGAGTGACGTGGAGTAATACCCTTTTCCAGTTGCAAAGCGTTGCTTTGTCTGACTTGGGTGGATGATGCGCGCATATAATAGAAAGTGATTGTATTCGATCAGTTCGTTCAACTTTCTCTGTTCGATTCCCTTCAGATCAAAAGAAAGAGAAACCATATCAACTGGCATTTATTCTCTGAGACAAATGTTTTGTTTTATTTTTATTTACTCTTGGTCAGTTGGATAAGTAAAAAATTACCAAAATTGGTCGGATTTGCTGGGTTGTGAAGAGCGTTCCACTGGCTGGAGGCAAACAACGGCTTCAGTCCCCAAATTTTTAGACAAAGAGTATAACTTTCGTGAATTGTTCTGATTCTGATTTTAACATTAGCATTTTCTTATATAGAATCGTTTGGTTAGTCTTTTAACTCAATTTTTCACTCATTCCCGTATTTACACACAAATCAATCTCTCCTATTTTACAGAAATGGTCATTTCTGATCCCGCTAAATACAGTTCCCTTCTGTGGGTCAGCCACTTCCATATTTGGGAATAAATTCAGAAACCTTACAACCATAAAGATTTTACAAATATTAAAGAAAAATGTAGCCGTGGAGAGAAGAAAGAGATCGATCTTTATAAGAAGTTTCATTGTTGTGGCTTTTGGCCAAACTAAACTTCGAAAACAATTTTATTCTAACATAAAAATCTATAATGTATGAGGATGGCGTAAAGGTTATCAACACTGAAAATAAAATCTGTGTGTCAAGTTCAAATTTTAACCGATTTTGTTTCATTCACTTTGCGTTAATGGCCTTGGAAAAGGCATGAATCCATCTTCCTACAGTGAAGGGTTAAATTGCAGGACAAACTTGTCTTAGCTGTCAGCCAGCCTAGAAGAAGGAAAACGTCCAAAACCGGTTAAAAAAAGGTATAGGCACTCTCAGGCTGTATTGCAATAAATATGGTGTCCCTATGTTTAGGGGATTTATAATCATGATTTCTTATGGATGTTTCAAGGTTAATATAGTTTCCCACAGCGGTTAGTGTTCGAACATATAAAAGTCAGATTGACAAATGTTGATTGTCAAATGCTGATTGTCCTAACCATAATAATTCTATCTCTCATTTGCCCATGGGCAAAACTAAGCTGAGAATTGTCCCCCTATGGATAAATATTTTTATCATGAGCTCTGTACGGATGAATGCCTTAACGGAAGTCAAACAAATCATAAACATTGGAACTCTTAAAAAATGCATTCACTAAATAAAAAAAGAAACTCGAATCAATTTCCGATTTTTGCATTTTTATTGCGTTTTCCTTTCTTTTTTCCCTCGTTTTCTTTTGTGGTCTTTTAGGAAAAATTCCTTTTATTTTTTAAGTACAACTCCCTGTTTCGCCTATTTCTCCCTCTCTCTCTCTCTCTCTCTCTCTCTCTCTCTCTCTCTCTCTCTCTATCTATCTATCTATCTATCTGTCTTTTCTCTTCCTGGTGTCCTTTTCTTACTTTACTTTCATTCTTCACTTTCGCTTTTCTTGCATTTTTCTTTTTTTCCTTCCTTTTCTGTTTTTCTACTTTTAGTAAGAGAAACTAAAGAGAAATACTCTTTAGTTTCTCTTACTCTATTTTGCTTTTTGTGCAATCTTTATTTCGTTTTTCTTCTTTTTTCAACTAATTTCTTTCATTTCTTCCTCTTCTTTCATTCGTTATTTTATTTTCCTTTTGCTTGTTTCGATTGTTAATCCTCTCATTCTTCTTCTTTCTTCATTCTTTTTCTTCCTTTTCTTTCAATTTATTCATTTTTCCATTCTGTTGCTTGATTTTTTTTCTTTCCTTTCTTTTCCTCTTTCTTTTCTTTATTTATCTTTTTAATTTGATTTTTATTTATTCCTTCTCTTCTTTCTGTTTGTATATATTCTTTCTTTCTTTCTTTCTTTCTTTCTTTCTTCCTTTCTTTCTTTCTCAACCACACACATCCACATATTTCCTCTCCAACTTCTCTTTTTATACCTGCGATTCCAGAACAAACCTTCTGAAACCAATCCTAGACTCATGACCGCCCCCCATGACGGCTCCAAACCTCCACCCCTCTCTCACCCCATTTCTCTCTCTCTCTCTCTCTCTCTCTCTCTCTCTCTCTCTGTCTTGCTCTATCTCTGTCTCTCTCTATCTCTACCACTCCTTCACCAAATTCGTCGAACAATGATTTGGTGAAACACATAATGGAAATAATTGCTCCACTTGTCGTCCTCCTATCGGCTGGGACATTACGCAGCAGGCAACTCTGCTCAAACGAAAGCACGACTTAGTAAATACAGAAAGTATCATAAGTTACACATCATTACACAGACACTTCTGTATTCTACTTGATGATCTTACGACGACCACTGCTACGACGACGAATGAGACAACGTCTTACAAGGCTAACCATGAACTGTCGTCATTTGCCTTTTTGGAAAACAAATAAATGCACAAGAGATTTATGCGGATAGATAGATAGAGAGAGGGGGGATGGGTGTTACTTAAAATTTCGAGTAATTTGAATAGAGTAATCAATTTCTTCATCTGCCAAGTTAAACAGTGTTTTCCGTGTCTCGCCACATACGTATTTCATATATCTCTCGAAATCACTCTACCAGAAAATTAAAAAAGTCATTTTCTATAAAAAAAATTTTTCGCGACTTAAGTTTTTGGATAACATCTCATGTATATATGCGTGCATGAGAGAGAGAGAGAGAGAGAGAGAGAGAGATAATGAAAGAGGCGGAGGTGGCGACAGAGAGAGTGTGTATGTGAGAGACTCTGGTGAACAAATTAATCTCGTAATCTGCGGCTACTATAGCAAGTTACTTTCCTCACTGAGTACACCATTATCTTGTTCTAGACTAAGCCAACGCAGATAAATATGTACAAGGGCAATAATTTGATAATTAGTAACTTAAATTAAAAAAACTAGTTCTATCAACATTGAATAGAGAATTTTTGTAGCCTTGTTACAGACTAAGCTACTAGAGGTAACACTCAGCAGTGGTTAGCGTACAATGCTTATACGAATTAGAATACGGGGATTCATAAACGTGGTCTTTTAGCAGACAAAATGTCTTCAGCAAATATCTGCCAATCTCTACATGCTGTATATACATTGGAATTAATAAGTAGGTATACCCCGATCACGACAGACACACAAACACATACATATTTTTATTATATATATATTTATATATTTTTATTTATATATATATATATATATATATATATATATATATATATATATATATATATATATATATAAAATATACATACATACATACGTAAACAAATATATATACATGTATATATACATACATATATATATATACTGTATATATACATACATATATACATATAAAATAGCTGGTCATTGCTATGCGAGCATTCCCGTCTACAAAGGACGGTTAGCCAATCACTATTGTAGACGTTCGCTCACGCACATTTTATACTGCAACTATGCTGAGCAGACCTTAGTTACAGTTTCTGGAAGAGAGCCTGGTATCTAGTGTTATCAACAATTTGAACAAGGCCAGTACGATGTCTTGTGGCTCCGTGCTAGCACAGCTATTAACGGCCCACAAGCGTTCCGTTTCACTCAAAAGGTTTGGGTCAACCCGTGGTATGGTTTTCAGGCACTTTCCAAAGGTGCCGCAGGCAGGGATCGACCTAATATCTCATGATCAGAAAGCGAACGTTCTCACCATTCCGCCACTTTTTGTGTTTATCTTCACCAGAAATTAAAACAAACATTCGAACATTAGAACGGCTCATAATCAGACGTCCATTGTCTGTTATATTCAATAATATATGTTTAAATAATGGTCTCCTGCCCAATACAATAAATAAATATATATACATGTATATATATACATGTATATATATATATATATATATATATATATACATACATATTTATATATATATATATATATATGCATATACATATATATCTATGTATATATATGCATATATATATGTATATACATATATATATATATACATGTATATATATATATATATATATATATATATATATATATATATATATATATACATACATATATACATATATATGCATACATGTACATATATAGGTACATATACATATACACATATGTATGAAAAATTTCTCCGATTTAAGACAATATTCATGAATAAAAAAATGACAATAGGAAAACTGGTAATTGCTGAATTCAGCAATTACCAGTTTTCCTATTGTCATTTTATTCATACATATGTATATATATATATATACATATATATGTATACATGTATATATATGTACATATACATATACACATATGTATATACATATATATGCATACATGTATATATATGTACATATACATATATAAATTCATATATATCTATACATACACACATATATATACATATATATATGCATATATATACATATATATGCATACATATATAAATATATATATACATATGCATATATATACGTATATATATATATATATGGATGCATATGCATATATACATATATATATATATATATATATATATATATACATAGACATATATTCATACATACGTATATATACATGGACATATAAATACATATATATACATTTATATATACGCATATATACACACACACATAAATATTTATCCATATATATATGTTTACATAGATATACATATATATACAAATATACATACA